ATGCCTGGCGATCGCAACTCTTACGCTTCAGAACTCAAAAATCTTTATAGTGTCTTTAGCGAAGTCCGTAAGAAACTTCATGCTGCTTACGAAAGAAACTCAAAGTCTTATAATTTGCGTAGACGTGATCTATCTTTTCAGGTTGGTGATTTGGTTTGGAGACGTAATAAGGTCTTATCAAATGCTGGTGTTAACTTTACAGCCAAGTTAGCCCCTCGTTTTGTTTTATCTTCAGTACGAAAGAAAATTTCGAATTTAGTTTATGTTTTAGTAGACGAGGATGGTAATAACGCAGGCCGCTGGCATATAAAAGATCTTAAACCATACCAAGATCACATGATTGACGACGATGATACAGGAAATGTCTCTACTACGTCACAGTAATTTAAATAATCTATTAAGTCCGATTCCTTTTTAGGGTTTAGTCTAAAGGATACATAGATTATATTTTAGTTTTTTAGTTTATATTAAAAAGTTATACAACAATTCGCTTATCGTTTTTACGGATTTGTCGCGAGCGAAGGTAAGTTTGTTTTGGTCACGCCAAACTTACCTCTTATAATTGTTGATCCGTAGCATGGCTTTTGTTGAGGTTCTTTTATTTGTTTGTTTTGTTCTCCGCTTCCTTGGGTGTGAGAGGGTCCCTTGTGACTGATTACACGATTTGTGAATCTTTTCGTTGCCTCACACTAGGTGGAGTTGAGTACGGACAATCGGCTTGAGGATTTCTTCAGGAACATCTAGCGCTTCCATGGGATTCTTTCTTTTCTTTCTTTTCCTATCCCATACTTGGAGTTTAGATTTAGTTTTAGTTTTCATATAGTTTACATATGAATGTTTTTTATTGGATTATATGGTGATTTGACTTTTTCCCGATTGTATGAAATCTCACTGATTTGACAGCCACCGATTGCGACTTACCAATGAGCAGCTCCTTTATGGACGTTAATGATACACGAAGTTATCATCCGCCAAATTTTCATTTGAAAATCAAGAAACCTAATACAAACTTAGTTTAGTTTTTTCCTATGTGGTGTTTGGGCGAAAGTCCTCTTTGAGGGAGCCTTTCTTTTTTAAGAGGAGGGCAGTGTAGCGTTTTATTTTTTCTTTTATAAAATTCCAAATTTTAATGTTGCTGGCTCCATGACTATTCGCTAGATGTTAAACTTCATTCAATTACAGGTAGCGGTTCCTTTCCATAGAAACAAATTTCATTCGAGTATAGACGATAGGAGTTCACTTGGTTGCCTTTGGTCATATGACCTGTCAATTCAGAAGACTTCCGTTTTGAGAAAAGGAGGAAGGGAGGGCTTTTCGAGAGATTGAGATCAAGAGAAAAGACGCGTGGTTCAGCGTCCAAACCGAATCTCAAGGAAAAGGGCTTTCTGAAACACTTTTCCTAACAGTAGAGGCACAGGTATCAAAAGTGTGGAGATTTGAAATCCTGTAGAATTATACTGTTCAGAGCCTAGTTCATTGTTTTGGCCTTTTCCTGGAATAGGAATCACACAGTAAGTGTATCTACCATTTTGCTTATCATGCATGTCTAACTAAATTTTATTTCAGTTATTCCCGTTTTTATTTATTTTGATAATGTTTGATTATTGCATTACTGGTTTGGATTAGCATATAGTCATTTTATATTTTTGGAATGTGTACAGCTGATTTTTCAGACCGTAAGTGCTATTTTTGGTATTCGGTGACTTGTTCTGAGAGTTTTTTTTATACAGTAACTGGCGTATAAAAGAGGGTGACGTATTATAAGTGTCTGGCATATGAGTAACCACTTTTGAGGACAGTGTTTATGACTCTACATTTATTTCTACTGATATCGAAGACTCCTGCTACTATCAGAGAGTCTACATCCACTTCCGTTAGTCTGGAGACTGCCTGCCTACCTAATTCTACGTCACAAAATTTAAAAAAAAATACAGATAAGTTCTAAGTTCAACACACACAAAAGGTATTCCCTAAATTTTTTTTTTACTTTGAGACAATATTTTGAATATCTGTGTAAATTGTTGTCATTTATTCCATATATTATAGTCAAAATTTACCTTTTAGTTAACATTATAAGTCATGCTTTGTCCTTAACGGTACGTTTTACTCCAATATGATCTTTTTATGTGAGAATCGCTAAACACGGATTCATTTTGAAGGTTATTGTACACGACTTGTTTCGAAACATCATCGTATTGGTACTTACATAAATTTCACCTGTTTATATATTACGTAGTATAGTATACTGGAGAGAACTCTAACTAAATTTGAGTTTACTTAAAGTAACTAACTGATTTCATTGGGATAGATTGAAACTGGGTTTAAACTGATTGATAATTGTGTTCGTTTTTAAATAAATGTTCAACGTGGGATAGTTATATCTGACTTTTTATTCTTGATGAACATAATAGACCCTTATTGCTGTTGATTATTTTATTTTAGCTATTTCATGATCAAATTTTCTTACTGGTTTCTGACTTTACCTTTTCATACACCCGAAGTAAGTGGCGCCCTTTTTACTGTCTTTGACCATTACTATTTGAATGCTTAACATCAATTTTAGAATCTTTGCGTAGCCTATACATTATTACTTTTATTTTATTATTTAACAACATTATTAAGTCACCACAGGTCACCAGCCTTACCTACGAACCCAGCTCTCCTCTAACCCTGAGCAACGGATACCTTTTTCTTTCTGTTTGAGTGATGACAGAAAAAGTCGTCACATTATCAGTTGAGATACTGTATTTTTTATAAAAATTGAAATAAAGATAGACAAACTTTCTTTTAGACACTAATTAAAACTCCTGATAGATTTAATAGCTATTTTTTTATAAAAATAAAGAAAAATTATGAATATAGATGCTCCTTTAATTTTATAAAATCACAAAACTAGGTTAAGGCTAAATTTTTAAAAATGTTGGCATAATCGTCAAAATCAATCAACGCTATTTTGTGTTGCCATAACTCGAAGTTCAACAAATGCAAATGTCAAAATAACGTCAGCGCTAATAGTGGAATTGCGGCAGTATTGGACTTTGCCATATCTCTATTGTGAATGATTGTAAACTAAAAAGTATAAAGTGTAATTGAAACCACTAATTTATTCCATTAATTGCGAGGTTCTGAATGAAGCTTTCCAAATAGTATTTTTTTGATATTGATGTTTTGGCATATGGCTTTAACACAATGAATACGTTCAAAATTTTACTACTTTTCCGGTTTTACGGCAGCAGCTAATGTTTAGCATTCATTCAAGGTGGCATGATTGCCCAGCAATGCACCAAGGTACTGCAACCATATTTGCTTCCCTTTTGGTAAACACTCGCAAATCCAGTTTTTCAACAGGATAATGCATGAATACATATGGCCCCCGCAACTTTACACTTTTTTAAGCTTGCTGTATAAATATTCTTCAGTAACCCCCTCGATCTCCAGACTTTTCTTCAATTAAATTTATCTGGAATATTATGATGGGAAAAAGACTATGTAATTTGCTACACTTCCACAAACACTGGAGATTCTATGCAATAAAGGTCAGATGACCAGTGGTACCATATGTCAGTGCATCCAGTCGATGCCGCGACGACATTACAAGTATAGAAAACAGAAGAACGTTTAGCATTCATAGTAGTTGGGCCCATTGTTGTCTATTGTTGGCTATGAGGGTATATATATTTTTATTTATTAGAACGTGTTTTCTTTCCACAAGTTCGTTATACATTACTTTAGTTTTTGCTAAAATACTTTTAAGACCCACTTTATTGCTGGCTGTATTTAGTTTATCAATTTTTGCTTGTAGTTACTCAGGACCACTGGCAATCAAGACTATGTCATCAGCAAATCTTAGATGGTTAAGACATTCTCCATCTATTTTTAATCCTTTGTTGGTCCAGTCCAGTTGACAAAAGATTTCTTCTAATGTCTTCATGTGCAGCGTCTAGCATGTTTTGTATTCTGTTGTTTATTATTTTTGTGAATATCTTGTATGCTACTGGTAGTAGGCTTATTGAGCTATAGTTTCTGATGTTTTCTTTGGTGCCTTTCTTATGAATTAGAATTATGTTGGCGCTATTCCAGTCTTGTGGTAGGTATATGTTTTCTCTTTAGACAATTGGTGTATATTTTTGCTAGAAAGTTCTCCTACCAGCGTACATAAGTATTTCAGCTATTATTCCGTCATTCCTTGCTGGTTTTTTATTTTTTTTATCGTCTACACATCATTAACATTAATATGGCCAATGGACCAGCTACGTCGAAACACCGGTTCCCGATAGATCACCGAAGTGAAGCGACGTAAGGCAATAATAGTAGATGGACTTAGTTGTTCCACGGCAAGGGTGTAAAAGTCTATTGACACATACTGCTGATTCACGCCGGTTCAAGGCCGTTTATTTTATTGTAAGTTTATTGTAATCTTTGTATTACAAAAGAACATTATTATTGCGTACCTATGTTGAGGTTCTAATGTGATGATCCAACGCTGAAACCAACTTTGATGATTTGATGGAATTTTAAATTTGTAGTAACTTGAACAACATTTCATAAATTAATTATCAAATTTTAATTTTAAATAACGAAAGTACAAATAACAATTCGTCAAAGTTTGGCTTTTAAAGTAATGATTTTTTTCTGCCGGAATAACTGCCGTTCCTTTTGCACCCAAGCTTTTCAACTAAATATCCTATTCGAAAATCCATGGGCGTACCTATTTTTATATCGAGTAAAAATTATTTTTAAATGGCGTAGTTTAAAATTCGAGAACGTTTTATTTTTTGAAAATAAATTTGTGTGTCTCTAAACTATCCATTTTTAATCTTTCTACAATGAGTGTTAATTTCTGATAAGTTTTATATCATTTATGAATACCTAATTCGTCAAAATTATCGATTGTCATACCCCAGCCGTATTTGACGCAGTCTTCTTTCGATCATAAGGTATGTTAAACCAATTTTTGAAATATAAACATTGCTTTTTCAATAAAATATAGCTAAACTTACCTCTCTGTTGCCGGTCAAATCGACTTTGTTCCCAACGACAACGATGGGCACGTTGGTCGAACACTTGGTCTCGTGGATCTGATCCCGTAGCGCTCGGGCCTCTTCGAAGGTGTTCGTGTCCGTGACGTCATAGACCAGTACGAACGCGTCCGCCGAAGAGATCGACAGCGCCCTCATGGCGGGAAATTCGTAAGCGCCGGAAGTGTCGAGAATATCCAGTGTCAGATGGACCTGGAAAAATATTTTTTTTAATATTGGAAGTTTAAAAAAGTTAAGACGGAAGCTGTCTGTATTTTAATTAATTTACTTGAATAATGAATAAATTACTTTCTATTTTACTACAATAATAGAAATAATGAGAAAGCCTGGGTATTTAAACAGCAAAAGAAAAATCTAATAAAATAAAAAAAATATTTTTTTTACGATCGTGGAAAAAGTAGCTATTCTTTACATTATTATCTGCTGTATTAAATGTCAATTTTTTGCACTAGTGTACTTTTTTGCACAAAAAACTTTTTAATAAACATTTGAATAAGAATTTCAAATCGATAATGGTAGAAAACATGTTGTTTGAAACATGTGCAAAAGGCATATTTGTTGAACTTGATACACTTGACACATATTTGATTACAACTCGTGACAAAGTCGAGAAAGTTTAAAAAAAAACTACAATCAATTGTTTCAAATGGATTTCGAGATATCGATATTTGAATTCAGAGTTCTTATAGCGCGACCACTGTCGAACACCAACTCGATTCCACTTATTTTTACCAAAAGTGCAAGTGTTAGTGTAAAATTTACAAGCTATAGGGAAAATTACGACTCGTTAATACATAAGCAAATAAAGTATCGCGAGACAAGATGTACACCCTTACGTAGAATTTTAAGTACTGAGGTCCACGTCTGTTTCAATGTACACAGTTTCTCGGTTTATTTCATACGTTTGGCAACGTTTTTACTGTTCTCTCTTTGTTCAGTACATTATAAACGCATTGTACTATTTTTATATACCTAAATCTCGACCCAAAAGCTAACCTTTGCCAGTCTTTAGTATATCAAAAACAAAATGAGAAACGGGTTTTATTAAAAAAAAGTAACATTCAAAGTTTAGTAAGTAAAAAAATACAATTCTTGTTGCCAAATAAATAAAATACAGCAAACCCGGAAATATAAATTTTAAATATTGACGTTCTACTTAGTATAAATGCAATATAATCTTAAAAAGACTAAATAAGTGTCTAAAGTATGTAAAGGCGACGGTCGTTGAGGGGAAACATTTTGAAATAACATAATTTAAGTGTAATATACATGAATTATTTTATTTCAAAACGTTCCCGATATTATCTGAAAAAGTAACTTAAAAATTTAATTCTGTGTTATTAATTAGACTGTGCACTAGTTGGGTAAGTTTCGAAAGCTCTGAACGTGCTCAGAATGTTTTACGTGCGCCAGGTCTAGCGAAAATACAGTATTCTGAAGTTCGAAATGCTCAAAGAAAAATTGCGTCTTAGAATATGAAAGTTAAGCACCGTCTACATATAACGTTTTTTCTTACGTCTTTGTTGTGCGATATTTTTATATTTAGGCTCACCTTTGGATTATACCGGAGGTGACATTCCGCTGTTGTAGTAATTAGAAATTTTAGTTTTGATGAACTATCTTTTGAGCTTTAGTTTAGAATTTATTCAATAAAAAGTTTAATTTGTGTAAAGATTACTTTTACCAAAATAATTCTTCTTCAATTTATTGTACTTCAATTATTACTTCAGATATTAAGCCTCGTCTACATATAACGTTTTATTTTTGTTTGACGTCTCACCCGTTCAAATAAAACATAGCAAGTAAAAAATTGTGTGTAGTGGTAAAAAAGAACATTTTACTTAAACTGAATTAAGAGTCTATTACGCTGTACTGTTCTGGTCGCTCTCAGGGGTCGGGTAAAGCGGGTGTGTGGCCAAAGGAAATATATATTATATTTCAGAAATATGCCTAAGGCTTAGCCCGATCCTGTCGGGATAAGCCACATCCGAAATTCCAAACACACGTGCTTTGATTAAGGTTTGCAGAGCTTCAGCATTTGCCATAAAATACCGAGCAATTTGTTACAAAACTATATAAATTATATATCACAGTAATCAGAAAACTTCAATCTATTTCCGTATTGTAACGGAATTTTAAATTATCTTTATTTTCGAGAAAATTTAGTCCAAACATAAGGAATATTTTGTTGATGTGTTACCATCAAAATCTTAAAAATAAAGAAGTTGCCTAAAAATGTGCTGCAATACGGATAGATATAGTATAATCCTTTATCTTTACCCAAGCAGCATTTGGACGTCGGTCGGGACAACGTTGTGTCACGCGACAAACGTCGGGGCGCAACGTCGGCATAACCTCGTGCCATCCCTAGTCTGCACTAGTTTGGAGAATAATTTTTGGGTCGAAACGACGTTGGATGCCGACGTTGGCTAGAAGTCTAATTTAGTACAAACTGCAACGTTGTTTAAAATCCTAATTCACAGAAATACAAAACTAATATGGCGTCTAAGTCGCGTTTTATCCTAAATTGGGATAATTATAGTAAAAATATTATTTTTACGATTTAGTTAGAGACATATATGTCAGATGGCAGTGAAGGAAAACAAAACAAAAGTTTTTAAGTGTGGAGGATGTTTGTGTCGTTACCCAAGGCATAAAAGTTAAACGCAAACAACTTTATTGATAAATGTATTGTTTCTACTTTGAAAAATACTAATGGGCCTTAAAATTAAAGAAGTTTTAAAAATTTTCTTGATTTTTTTTTTAGTAAAATGAGAATAATTTATTCGCAGTCGAAAAAATTGTTTCCGCGTGTTTTTTAGGGTCAAATATTTTAAGTTAATGTATTCAAAAAGCAGGAATTGCTATTTTAGGAACGAAACATTTTCTTATCTAACAACATGGCCGCTTTCCTTTGTTCTTTTGGAGATTAAGATGGAGTAGTTCGAGTAGTCGCATACTGGACTAATAAAGTCGCAGTTCGGCCTTAACAGGTAGTATACTAGTCGCAAGATTGCCTAATTTAGTCATCCTAGAGTCTAGCTTGTGCCGCCCTCTATAATCTAAATAAACGAGGGAGTGGATAAACTATCGGTAATATATGTCGATGTATATTTAAATTTAGTTTTATATGTACCTTTCTTATGTCCCATTTTAATTAAGTTTTTTTTATAAAAACAAAAACAGCACTGAACTGTCTGACTGAACAGAACAATGAAGTGAAAATTTAAGATTTAAGGTTATGGTTCAATACAGTTGCAAAAAGGTAGTGACTCGATGTCCTACCAACGTAAGAATAAGGAAATCTAAACAACGTTGGAATTAGTAAAACAGACGACGTTTGCATAACGTTGGAATAGGTCCTGAAACTGACGTCGGAAAACTCTATATTGTCCAACGTTGTAACTACGTTGTCCGGATCACCTAAAGATCACTTAAGCAAAAAAAGGTTACAAGAAAACGTTTATTCGACGTCGCAGAAGCTTCTACTTTGCTGTAGTACTAGTCCAATGTCGGCACAACGTTATAAACACGTTTAAATTTATTTTAATACCCAAGTTAGGGAGCTAACTATTTTTTGTAACTAATCCAACGTTGTGTTTAGTAAATATGTGGTCGCAAGTCGTGAAAATGCTACTTGGGTAATTTCCTTCTTTATTTGTGTAAAAATACCTAGCCAGTTTTACATAAAACGTTAAATGCCGAACGCTTATTTTGCCACTTTTTCCGACTAGTGAAATGGACTCTTAAGACAAAAGACACCAAAAAAATATAAATAATTTGACAAAAGGTAATATGTTTAGCATCTTTAAAACTAAAATAATTTTGGACTTCCATTGTCTTCATTTATTTGTCTTATTAGATTAACACAACGTTTCGGAATCATGACTGACCATTATCAAGTGTAAACTAAATTAATTTCTAAAACTACTGAGCTTTTATACTACAGCCAGGCATTCACCCTTGAAGAAATTGGGTACAGTCAATCGTGAGGTTATCCACTTAGAGTGCCTGCACTGGTGCGCTTTATTAGTGGTTGCCATATCGTTAATAGTTCCGTACTGGGATTGCTAGAAATGTTGTTATTATTTGCAATAAAAATGGAAATTAAAATCTTTTATTTACAACCACATATTATGTAATACTGACATTACTGACTTTTAAAAAAAAATTGAAAGTGTCAAATTATCAACATTTCTTCCATTTTCCATTTCCCTCACCCATTTCCCTCACTCGGTTTTTCTTATTTCTCGCCTCATTTAATTAAGGAAAATATTCTTGTAATATCTTTATTAAATACTTATCTAACATCAATAAAAATAAACAAGAAGATTAACAATAATAATTGAAGATTTTAATACATTTATTTGTTGAAGGTAAAAATGCTAGACTTCTTTGGCTTAAAACCTACATTCTGGCATTTTAAAAAAGCGACGAGTTTGTGATATTTTGATATGTCAGTCTTTTCCCTTAATTCTAGTATTGTCCGTATCAAGCTGTACGTAGCCCAAAGAGTAGATGGCTTTTTCTGCCTTGCCATGTCGCTAAAATATGCCATCAAGACTGTCTCCGAAGCAATATTCTTAGCATTTTTTTTGCCACACCATTTTCCGTATATTTTCAATGCTATTTCATATCGCCCCCTACTGTTCTCTGGAAGTAAACTGGCTTTTGCTCTTTTTGCAGCTTCAGTAAGTTCTGGTGGAGTACCAATATTAAAATAGTCTTTATTATCAGAACTTTCCGACAACATTCTGGCTTTCTATGTTATATAAATTCGAAAAAACGAATGAGAAATTCAAAACTGTCACTTAGTTGTTTGTTTTGCTGTTGAAGGTTTGCGCCATAACAACCACTTGTACCGGTAACTATAAATATGGAAATGCCAAAACAGAACACGACACATTTTCGCATTTTTTTTTTCAAATAAAATACTTTCCCTATTTTTTAATTAATGATGTGGTTGTAAATAAGATAGTAGGTATACAAACCTCGGAGGAAAGTTGTCATTATTGTCTCGAGATTTAGTTAAACTCTCGACAGTAATGAAATACTTCCCTCCTCGGTATGTAATATACTATAAATTTACGCTTTTCCCAATGAGGTTCCCTGTGGACAACCCGAGCTTCTGACCACTTTATATTGTGCTGTTTTGACTAACCATCGTCCTCAATACCTGACTTTATTGTTTC